TATTTGCAGATGAATATATTTGCATAAAAACTCTGAGATTTCCATGCATTACTAGATTTTTCTAGATTGTTGTTGCTGATAAAGCTACCTTCTGTTATTAAGTCATGATATTATGTTACCTCATTATGTTATTACGTTATAACATTATTATGTTGTTGAAAATGCTTACCAGCTTCAGCAAGTGTGATACATTTTCAGCTTCAAATTGAAGCAGAAAGCATTAAAAAAACCCTAAAGAGTAGTGAAAAGCAATGGACCCTTTCTACAGGAATATCCTTTATCATGTCTCATTAGCCATGTGTGAATAATACCCGTGACTTTGCACATTAGGTAACAGCTCTTGAAATTAAGGTACCTGGTTCAATCTAAAGAAATGACTCACTGATAATAACTTTTTAATTTTGTTCACAGTCATTTTATCACATGTGATTTCAGTGTCTTAGCCTTTAGAGATGATCCTGAAAGTTCACTGATGAGCAATACTTCGTTTTTGACTGTATACCAAGAAACGCATCATTAGATAGTGGTTATGAGCTGCTTTCAGATGAGAAACATCTTTGGATGTATCCTAGAGCTCACATTCAAGATGGGAACCAAAGTTCTGCTATTCCTTTCCCTCTAACGCAAAGAAAAAGCAGCCCACTTCCATGTTAGCTCCCATGAGCTGTAAACCACCTTCTGCATGTGAGGCTCAGTATACTCTTGACCATGACAACCCTCTTATGGACGGCACCATAGCTGAGACACAGTCTGATAAAATGGTTGCATATGAAGTTCAGTTGTCCCCACAGAGTTATGTGACAAATACAAAAATCATTCTAGTTAAAATGAGGAAAAGATAAGGAAAAGGAACCTGCCCCTAATCACTACAGCAAGGGGCATCTGGGTTTCAGATATATTCACTCTGTCTACAAGCTCAGCATACTATTACCACTATACCACCAATTACTACTGTTACACCAAACCCCAACCAAAAGCTCAATTTGAGTTGACCTCATATTTTTGTTTTCTTTCAGACTTTTATGTGAGTGTATGCACATGACAAGGATGCATGAAGAAAACGAAAGACTACTTCCCCTCCTCCCCAGTGTCAAAAGTTCTACTTTTGAAAGCACATCTAAAATAAACCCTTTCTTCCTTACAGAAATGCCAATTATATGCAAATAAAAGTTCTCCTTATGCTCACAGTGAAGTAAATTATGTGCTTAAAGTAATGCAGTAAACCCCAAATCTTTAGACTATAATGCTGTAGACCACAGTCTCAACTTCAGGGTTAAGTGAAATCAAGATAAATGGCTTATGCAAAACTCGTCCAAGCTTTAAAAAATATTTATCTCTTATATTTAGCATGCATGAAAGTTAACCCTAAGAAAGGAGTGGTGACAGTACTAAGTATTACACTACTTTTATACAGCTGTCAACTGAATTTAGTCCCAAGATAATCTCTGCAAGTGTGACAGGGAAGGTACACATTTCCACAGATACACACTAATGCCTTATTCACAATATCCCTCTACTGCAGCAGGCACTTGAAGCCCCCACAACCTGAAAGGAGACAATCTGCTAATTAATTCTTAAAAGTCATTATAGAAACTGTATATGTACAGAAGCACACATATGCAAGGCAAGGGGGAGGGAAAAAAAGAGAGAAAATATTACATACAGCTTTAGTACCACAAGTAGGAAATTAATTCAGAGCCACTCATATGCCAGTAATTCTTAATAATTAAAGAAAAACTACACCCTGCTGCTGGAGTTTTACATCCATCACTTTTCCTTTGAGAGAACATTACCTGGCAGATCTGCAGGAAGGGGTCATGTGCAAAAAACACTCCAATGACTCTTTGCCATAGAAATGTGCCTCAAAACTCAGTCTTTTACTTCTGTTGCTAAAATTGCATTCCTAGACCCATCTTTGAAGCTGTTAAAATAGAAGCTAAAGGCAAACCAATGAAATACCAGCAATCTCGAGCCTGAGAGAAAAATGGCAGCTCCCTTAATCTTGTTAGACCATGATTCATCAAAATATTTGTAGTGATAATTCATTTATTCCTTTTGGGGCTAACAATCTATTCCAAAATTAGCCTTCCTAAATTAAAAGTATAAAAATGTCACAGTAATTAAAGTCAAACAGGATTAAGAAAATTTTGCAGTACTTTAACATATATTTTATATACAAATACACACAAACACCTCTAAACAAAACCTGTGGTGTTTCTCATGCAAGTTATACAAAATTCAGTTAAATATTATGTCATTGAAAACACTTATTTTTCATGTAATATAGGTCAAAGTGCTTAATATCTTTGCCTGGTTGTTCAGCCATCACTGATAAAATTCTCAGGGGCAATGTTAATTTAGAATGAAAGTCAGTCAACATAGAAACCCTTGTAAAATCAGTGCCAGTAAAAGAGGAATGACAGCCAAATGCAGAATTTCTACCCAAGAGTAGGCAAGCAGCAATGAGCAAATGAGCATCTGGCTCTGTGTGAGAGTGTGAGTGCACACAGCTTTGAGACAAGGGTGTCCTTTCCAGCCCCATCTGCTACCTTTATACAGAAGGAAGGTACTGAAGCTCTGGGGTCTGCACAACACCTATTAACATGGTATGCCACAACCTCAGGGTAGATTTTCCCTAAAGGCTCCTTCTGTCCTGGCAGGGGATGGGATGAAGAGATGTGTTCCCACCCAAGAGCAGAGGACGAGTAACAAGGTTAAGAAGTTTTGGAAAGTGCAAAACTGGAGAATCACAGAATAGCTGAGCTTCAAAGACCTCTGGAGGTCATCTGGTCCAAACATCCTGCCCAAGCAGGGTCACCTAGAACAGGCTGTCCAGGACCTTGCCCATAAGGAAATGCAGAGGGAGCAAAGCACAAAACAAGAGGCCTATCTTACCTGATGTGTGCACAGGAACTGGCCCTAAGGAGGAACAGCTCACTGACACCCTGCGAAGTCTGAAGGGCCACACTTCTCCAGCACTACCATTTCTTCTGCTTGTGCTGTGCAATCTGCCTCCACTACAAATCTTGCCCTTTTCAAAGTCAATAGCACAAGCACCTAAAAAGCTTCAATCCAATTTTTCACTTGCACATGCAACAGGCACACTGGAAAGCCTACAGACTGGCAAATACTTAGCACAAACGCAGTAAATAGGGTGACATAAAATATTTTAGAAAGCGCTATAAGCAAGGAGAATCACTTGTGCCCAAAGAGGCCTAGAGGAGATGGCATAGGCTGGAACAAACTTAAGCAGCCCTGATGGGGTAGATATTGCATAGTGTGACCAAAGGCACATGCAATTCCAGAGAGGTCTCAACGAGAACAAAGTCAACACCAGAAACCAATTGACTACCACAACTTCCATGTAAACCTCTCCATGCCTCTCAGACCACTGGGAAATTAAAATTGTGTCAAGATCTGTAAAAATATGTATCAGGAAATAATAAAGTATTAGACTGTCCCTGCATCCTGCTCCACCAAGGAACAACTCACTTTCAGAAATTATAAGCTGCACAAATGTGAAATATGCACAAAGGCAAAGAATGAAACTGGAAGTTTGAATTCATACACCCCTAGACAAGATTCTAAATAAATATTAAACAATGTATTCAGACTGAAAACAAAGCCCACAGAATTCAGCAACTGAGCAACCTGTAAAATTATCAAGAGACAACTTCTCAGGCAAAAGGTGAAAGGCAAGCTTTAAGTATCCCCTCTCTTGGCTTTCCCAATATAAGCAACCTCCACCTTAATATACCAGTGTGCTACCCCACAGAGACACCTGTGTAAGGAATTTTTTTTTTTTAAATCCAAATCAATACATTTCCACAACAAGACTGAAGAGACAGTATGAAGGTAGAAATAGCAGATAATAGGGAGGAGAAGTCCTGTCTAATATTTTCAAAAAAGAAAGCTATGAAGCTGTATCTTAGAAGTCTAGGAAGCTAGTAATGAGAAAGAGAAGGTGCACCCCAGTTTAACAGTATGGAACTGTGAACATCAAATACTGATACGTCTTTTTTCTTGGACAATCAACGCAGGTTTGTCTTTGGTTTCAAGAAGATGAGCCCAGAGCACCTTCACCTCGGCACTGGCAGTGGCTCTGCATCAAGAAGCCAAATACTTTTAATCTTCTTACATGTCTACATGTGTCTAGTCACACATACGTGACTGCTGCGACAAGTATGGTCCCCAGAGGTGAGATCTAGTCAGATGTCTATGGTGCAGACAGCTAAGTCAGCTTACTAAGTCTGGGTGATTAGCTAAAGAGAAAGAAGACATCTGGGGGCATGATTCATGTGACCTATTTTAGTTGTTTACATAGCATGAAAAGTGTCTTCCTCTTCACGGATGATAAAGCTGAGCCTAGACACTGACAGAACAAGTTGTCAGCATGTGGTCAGATGATTCCCACTTACATGCCTGAGCTTATGAGGGTGGAAGGAGCAAAACAAACACACAAACAACAACAACCAAAACCACCCAAAACAAACCCAAAAAAGCCCATGAACTTCTCTTTCAAGAAGTTATTTTGCATTTGAAATGCATTTTCCTCAAAATGCATCTTTGATATGTAAGTCCTTTGGTATGACTAATAATACCACCCAAGGCAGAGAATTAGGGTTTAAAGCAAAGCAGAAGAAGGAGGAATAAATGCAGCAAAAATTACTTTTAAAGTAAAGTCCAAGGAAATATTTGCATTATAGATCCTAATGCAATATGCGTGTTTAGCGTGGTGTAACTATTTAAATGCATCTAAAACAGCTGGTGGGATTTTCAGACTCAAAAGCAGATAATTATCAATCTTATTCACAGCAATTAAGTCTGTATAGGGTAAAATAGGATCTATTGTTCCCCACAAATACTGGGACTGGAGCCAGAAGAAATTTCAGTGGAACAGAAAGTTGGCAGCTCGGAAAGAGGCTGAGAACTGCGTATTCTCTAGCATAAAAGGGAAAAAGCCCAACCCACAACAAGGGACCAAGGACAAGCTTAGAGACCTTTTCATAAAAAGAATTTCTCCTCTTCTGAAAGTACCAGGGAGGTGTCAGAAATTAATACTGAAGCAGATGCCAACATAGACTTATCTCGGTCCATACTCTACACACATGGAAATCTATCCACCAATTTCTTCTGGTGACTGAAAAGAAGAAAGCTAGACATTAGTAGTGCTATATTTAGACATTTGCCCACTACCTAGATTCATACCTTCGGAGTCACTGAGCACAGAATCTTTAGATAGGCACAGAAAGCTGGACAGCTCTTACTAAGAGGCCAAGACTGCCAGTAGAGCAACAGTCATTAATCTGCTCTCAATTCAAAATGATCAACAAGTGGCAGCGAAGGATTTGCAAATCATTTGCCAAGGACAAAACACCTCCAGCAGCATTAAGTGATGGTTGTTAAACTGCCACAAAAAAAAAAAAGGTGGGGGAAGCCACAAAGAGCTGGTGCATGATCTTCAAAGTAGTGCACAGGCTGTCCCACACTTTTAACTCACATCAAAATAATTGTCCTTCCCTTTACCCATCAGTCAGCTCACAATGCCAACCTTTTCTCATCAGAGTGTGTGTTTCAAGGGTAGGGGTAATTCTCCAATTGAGAAAAAGGAGATTCTTTACTCCATGGGCTCAAATAGTCACAAAATACAATCACACCACCTACCGTACAAAATTAGTGTTTCCTGAACCAGTTAAAGAACCATACTTCCTTTATGTTTTGGAACCATGCAACACACATATATATTTATATATATATATATATCTCCCATATGTATATTTTAAACAGGGATAAGCGGTTTTGATTAGGACACATTTTATTTACTATGTAAAGATTAAGAAATACAATCTCAGAGTGCTGAAATAAAATGCCCCACAGAATACAGGCCTAATCAGCACAGCAATTAGAAATGAAAGATTTGCAACACAGAGGAGTCTTCCCCTACTGGGAAGAGAAAGGAAAAAAATTAAAAAGCAAGCAAAAAATTCCAATTCCTCTAAAATGTTGACTATATCAGTAATATCAGTAAGCACAAAATTCAGTCTTACATAGAAATGATTTGGAGTAATATGTTTCCAAACAGAAGAAATAGGTTCTTTCACAGAATGCAGAGTGGTTGCATCAGGGCCAAAGGTGTCTCCTGCCACACTACCTGCTGTTACACACCTCTCTCCTTTAATACATAAATTAAAAATTTATGTGCGTGGCCTCACAGGACGAAAGAAAGGAAAGAAGAGCACCTGAGTGAAAGCACACTCACTGACCTCCTCCAGAGCAGCATTACACACCCAGGTGTGAGCAAGTTGCCCATTTAGGTCTGCAAAGAAACCAGCCTGCAGCAGACAATGGCAGCAACTATGTCTTTCTGCACCCCTACCCAGTGAGGGATGGTGGTGCCAACAGAAAGGAAAGTTGCCAACTTTCCAACCTGCCAATCTGACAGCCCGTAGTCCTTATGATCCACTTCCATTCATAAACTGGAACAAACCAAAAATCATTTTCTGAAGCATCTTCAGGATATCCATAGTATAGCTGTTCTGTACCTGATGTGTCAAAACTCCAAGGTAGCATTTTGGAATAGACAGCAGGCAGCAAGCAGAGCTATTTACATACTTTACTGAACATTTTTTAAAGGAATGATACTCTCCTACTGTGGTACTGGGACCAGACATGTCCAAGTAAATGCCAAAGAATGGTCCACTTCCTGCTTCATGGTCTTCTAGCGTACGTAGTGGCTGCTCCAAGCTCAGTGGTTGCTCCAGCCTCAGTTAATGACTTTTTATCACTTGAGCTTAGATAAACATGTCTCTCTGCGTGTGATTCCTCCTCTTCTTTTGAAAGTTATTCTGGCTAGCACTTCTTTTCCCTTTTATGAAGGGAAGAGGCTTTTCCAGAAGGCTGGATGCTGAAGGAAAATTGCATGTCACTTTTTTGTTGTTGTTTTGCAAGCAGTATTTCTGCTTAAGAAGGTATGCTTTTTTCAACTACTTTTCAATTTTTTAATTACTAAAAAAAAAATTACTAACATGGCTTAATCCTCTTACTTCCACATGCATGAAACTTTGCCCAGAACTTTTACCGGGCTTACTGTACTTTTTAGACCATAACTACCCATTGAATATAAATGCATTTCTGCCATAAAGACATCAATGGAAGGCCAGAGGATTAAGCTAAGTATGCCATCTTTCTCATTTATATAAGCATACAAAAACTTCACTGCACTCTATTTTCTTACTTCTATGTCAAAAGTACTTCCCCCCACCCCTGATTTATCTCATATAAATGCCTAATTATGATAGTTTTGATAGGCGAAGACAATTTTCTTCACATAGCCCCTAGTTTGGGGCTATGTTTTGGGTTTGTGCTGCATACAGTGATGATAATAGAGATTCTTTTTAGAATTATTTTATTTTTTTTAACTGCTGAGAAGTGTTTACATGGAGCCAAGGCCTTTACATCTTTTTGTACTGCCACGCTGGGGAAGAGATTGGAGGTGCCTGGGAGGTTGGGAAGAGACACAGCTTGGACAGGTGACCCAAACTGGCCAAAAAGATGCTCCAGACCATGTGACATCATGCTCAGTATATAAATTGAGGGAAAGAAGGTGGGGGATGTCTGATGTAATTTGTCTTCCCCAGTAACCATTACATGTGATGGGGCCCTGCTCTCCTGGAGATAGCTGAGCACCTGCCTGCCCATGGGAAGCAGTCCTTTAATTCCTTGTTTTGCTTTGCTTGCATGTGCAGCTTTTGTTCTCCTTGTTAAACTATCTTCATCTCAGCCTATGGGTTTCCTCACTTTTAACTCCTCTGATTTTTGAGTTGGTAGTTGGCATCACTGTATACCTTGTTTTTTCTTTTTTGCCATTTCCTTCATCATTGAACAGATAATGGTACAATGTGCTGTGAAGTATACCAACAAATATTCTCATAGGATATGGTACGTTTTGAACACAACTCAAACATTCAGTAGAATTTTTCTCTCTAGCAATGAAACTTTGTGTCCAATTACATTTTGAATAGCCTCGATAATTAGTGCAAAGAGCACTACAATGATAATTGTATCCATTAGACTTCTGTTCTTCCAGCATTTTTATCTGCCTATGACTCCACAGCAGCCTTCAAATGGGCTTTAAATATCGCAATAAAAAAAAATTGAACCAAAGCACTGTTATAGTTAGTCCTCAATAGAACACAGACTTTCAAAATTGTTTTGATTAAGGTAAGACTGATCATTTTTACTACATATTAACACAGAAATACATTGTTTGGAACAATACTCCCCAAACTGTTTAAATCATCTCAGGCTTTGTCCTTTACAAAGTGTCTTCTAAACACTAAGAGGGTTATCTTCCGTTTAACAAAGGCAGCATCACTTCATCAGGAGCCCAAGAAAGCAGGGAGAAGGGGATCACACTCAGCTTGTTTGCTCTAAGAATATTCCCTGCATCACCACCACTCTGTAGGCATTTATAAGACTCAAGGGATAATACAGTCAAACTCACATTCAGTTTGTGGGGCTGTTTTTCCTATCATTTAGGAGCATGCCATTAGGGGAACGCTCCTCAACCTCATCTATATTAGGTCTCCAGGAAACATTGCAAATCTGCTAAGCTTATCTACCTGAAGAATTGCTCTTTCAAAAATAAGGAGACCACCTTTGCTTTGAATATATTTGATAATGCCTGTTTAATCAGAGGAGGAACTATTTTTGTCACTATGTGAGAAAAGAGACTTGTCAAGTAAAGAGGTGGGCATGCTCTTAAGCACTATCATTTCGGCCAGAAGTTAATGGAAACAAGCAAGAGCTCAGAGATATGAGCAGAGCTTGAAACATCTGTGTCATGCTTATTTATTACTCACCCTTAAGACTTTCTGATACTCATAGCTCTTTGTATCTTCAAAAGCAAGTCAAAAACTGCACAGAAGCCTGAAACAGCCTAATAGAACAAACAGCTTTTCCTTCCAGTTTTGGCAGATTACAAGAATAATGAAGTTCCCAAGCCTAAATAAAAATCATAAAAATCCACAAATTAGCACGGGCAATTCTGTAAATGAGCAGATGCATAGAATCTACGTAAACAAAACCAGAAATGAAATGTTTCCCTTCTCCTATTATAGCTTATTTGTATCTACCTCCCAGCCATGCAGGCCTATAGCCTACAACAAACAAATAAATAAAACAAAGCCTGGTGCTTTGATGAGTGCAGGATGCAGTGAAACAGGCAGAACTGCTGCTCATTAGAATATGTCAATTTATCAATTCCTGATTTCAGAATATATTTCAACTACCTCTCCCATATAAAATCAGAGTGCAGCTTCGTTTCTATTTGCTGCTGAGAGGAGGTGGTGAGCACCAGAGGACACAGCCAGCAAGCACAGACAACTCCAAGACCATCTGTCACAGTGTGAAGCTCCTGTAGGAACTCATGTTGCAGCTGGGGGTCAGTCCCCCCACTAGTTTTGCTCTTGCACCTCAGATGAGCTTTACTGATGACACACATCTACAGGGATTTCCACTGGGAAGCAAACGGTTCAGTGGTAATGTGTACAGCAACAAAATCTTCCTAGTCAAATAAAATGCAGTACAGCTTATGCAAACCCATTTTGCTAAGGTAAAATCACCCTCTAAATAGAGCTTTCTGACATAATCCCAGCACAGTAAGGAGGACAAACAGCATGAGGAATGCTAGTTTTGGAAGAGAATAGTGACAGATGAATGGACCTGATAACACATTACATATAAGGAGAGAAAGTTAGATTATTTTTTTCCCCTGCATGTTCTACAGTTGACTTGAAGTGAAAACTATATAGACTGGAGCCATCTATCAGCACCACAGCAATTAATAATAATAGTCCTTCAAGTGTTTAGTCACAGTTTTTGATTTAGAAGTATATCTCTAAATCTGAATTTTGTATTTGGCAACAGATATGTCTCCATTACTTTTCAAATACATATGATTAATCAGAATGTAATCCCTTTCTTTGCATCCCTCAGGTGAGGTAGAACTATAAAAACCCTGTTTTTTCAAACTAAGAAACAGTCTTGTTCACCTACACAAACATTACAGCCCAGGTCAAGAGACAGAAAAGTATGCCTTTATTCTAAATCCAAACACCCCACCTCTCCTCCCTTTTGACCTCATACAAAGCTAGCAAGGCTGCTTTATAGTCCATGGAGTTTCCTTCACCTGTGCTAACATCTCCAGACAGGCAGCTTAGCAAATACACTCTTCTATACAGATGTATCTTCTGAGCTGGATGACCACTGGCTGCTCCTACTCCCCCTCAGCAGGTTTCTTCGTGAAGTCAAGCTGGGAGAAGAGTTGGAGGGCAAAACTGGGGGTTTGCTCTCCAGTGGCTTAGGCACCCATATCCTCTGGTATTGTAAGATGGTGTCCCCAGGCTGAGCAATGACATTTCTCAGCCAGTGACAGGGTGCTGATAATCACCAATATTTTCCCAAATACCAAACATAGGGCTTGCTACTTTCAAGCCCAGGAAAACCAGTTACACAACTCAGCATTAAAGGATGATTCTGCACCTGAAACTGCTGAGAACTGTGGGTTAAACCTTCAGTAGTCTCAAAAGCAGCAAAGAAGGGGACATGGTATACTTAGGCCTACATTTGAGGTGTTTTTCCTACAAGTAACCAAGAAAAATATTTTTTGTTTCTTCATATATAATTACTTAGCCACTTACAAGTTTTCTTTCTCCCAACTGTAACAAAAATAATTACAAGTTCAACATTAACAGCAGGTTTGAACAACCCCATTTCATAGGGACAGTTCATCACCTCAGAAAAGATCACCCTTAGGCAAAGGACTGACAGAATCACCACCTGCCCTCCCAAGTGTCCCTAGTGCCCATCTCAGTCCGTAATTTGGACTTATTTCTGCAAGAAACTGAAACATCAACTTAGATTAAGCCTGGAAAAGCAAGTGCTTTTCCTGCCTGCAGTTCCACATCCCCAAGATAGTAACTGAGTTAACTGCTTTCCTGTCTCTCCAAACATGGAGTTTGTAGCCAGGAATGACATATGGCTGGTTTTATACAGTGCTTCTTCTCACTCCTCTCACTTTCTTCACCTCTGACCATTAGCTGTAGTAGGTAAGGCAAAGGAAGAAAGGATTGCAGCAAACTTTTTCATTATCCAGCTCTATTTGCATACTCAGTACAGATTCTAATACAGTAGAAACCAATATTAGCACTATTTTTAAAAAAGGAAAAGCTGGCTCCTACTGGGTAGTCTTTATTAGAAGATGACAGATGTTCTTAACAAACATTGGTAAAGAAGGATAAAATCAGAAAAATTAACATGTATTTGTAATCAGCACCACACTGAAAAAAAAGACAACACCATTTTTATGCCATATTGGTCAAATCCACAGAGGTTTACCAATCACAACCTGCAATCACACTGAACATATTGGTTGCCTTAGGGCACTGCGTTTTTTGCCTCAGCAGAAGAGATAACTCAGGTATCGAATCAGATAAACTGTAGTTTTTTCGCCAATAAATCCCATATGACAGTCTTTTACCCTTGTAGCAAATCAAGAAAAAGCTATGTTGAATCAAAGGCTCAGGATTCAGCTCAGGCAATAAGCCCTCATAAAGAGTCCTGTGAACACAGCTTACCAGTCAAGCAAACAGGCAGTTGAGGCTTGATCACCCTCCAGGTGTAGATTCACTGTGCCTATGGACTCTCCACAAGCTGCCTCCAGCCCCCCACCTACAGTCAAACCAATCTCCAGTGACCAATGCCAAATCAACAGCCAACATGGCTGAGCCACATACACCACACTGTCCTGAAAGAAAGAGTTCACCTGGTGGAGAACACAGGCAGGCAGCTCAAAGCAGGCTGTCTTAAAACAACATTAGCTCGATAACACTGGTTTTTCTAGGGGAGATGCTTGAAAACGTC